ATCAAATAGCTAATCGAAACTACTGCAGATTTATCTATCACTCTCATATTTGAAGATTCTGCTTAATTCACTGTGTTACATGCATTTCCATGATAAAACCCTTATAGTTTTTCCTTCATGCATTCATTTTTCTTAATAAGTAGTTAAATATCTATACGTTTAGCACCCAACCACATAATTAGCACTTGCTACCTATTGTAACTAGTCATGACCACATTATACTGAGTATAGTCAATTTGTTTATACTATAGATTGATCCATTGTCCTCACATAGCTAGAGTTGTCATGTTGTTTAATATTGTGTCTAAGAACTAAAACTATTTCAGTATCATGTTTTTTTGAATTTCATTTATCCACCAAGGAATTATGCTTTATTTCAGTTTTGACATTGACAATGGACCCAAAGCGGCTGAGTATATTCAGGTATATTTTATTATTTCCCACCACTTGATTTCACTATGCACTTTTTTATTTATTTGTGATGCTGTGTTGTTTTTAAATTTATAACTGATGCCAATTGCGTAATATAAGCAGTGTTGTTAATGGTAGAATGCCAAAATCATGTCGTATAAACATGCCATTCTAGCCAAGTGTGCCACCATAATGGGCTTCTCTTTGCAAATTGTCCACAGCAATTGGTGAAAATTTACCACACCATTCTTCCATGGCATTGCCATCTAACAAAATTGAACATAAGTGGAAATGTGAACATAGTTTATATAATTAGGCTTTTGTTGATCAACTTAACAAGAAAGGAAATGATTGTATTTGATTTTTAAATGGATATTGGTTTAAGCTATATTGTAGACCTTGTGATTAATCTAGTTGTTAATTAGCTGTCTGATAGAAGTCCCAGAAAGGATTCTGGTAGATAGTATTATTTAATGAAAAAGAGGAGCTACAGGTGCTCTTACAGTGAATGTAAATGACAACCAGAGCCTGTCTCCTATACAGAGAGATACTCTCCCAACCACTTTAACATGATCAGTATGAATCCCCCATAATCCCCCAACTGACCTATTAAAAGAATGACTCTAACATAGCTCTTCTAACAGAATTTCCCCCTGGGCACGTGATAACCACATGACTTAGCACCACTAATCTCTCTACAGGAATCATTTTCTTCCTTCACGAATATACCCTCCATATGATAGGCCCCCATCCAGGTTTGGCACCCGATCAAATCCTTGGTCATTATCAAAATTGGGCCCAAGGGTCCTATCATAGTATCTGATAATTGGTGAATTCTATGCCTAAAGGTTAATAATATCGAGTGGTGGTGTAGGATAAAATTAATAATGTCAGTCTTACTTGATTTGCAATGCTTCTGCTATATAAAATTGCTTACTAGAGCGTTCCTGCTAGGAAGTCTTTGGATGGAATATTGTATTATTTTTGTTTCAAAATGTGGAATGGGATCCCTTGTGCTCAATATATCATATTGCACTGGTAAAATATCCATATTACCTTGGTAAGTAAAATTCTAGAGAGGAGCTTTGCAATAGGTCACTTAAAGAAACATCACAGAATGCCACCTGCACTATGAAGTTTTTTCTTTATTTTTTCTTAGTCACACCTTTTTTAATGCAAGAAAGAAGAATGCAAAACATAACATATACAACTAAGTATACTGTATTGGATGGAACATTATCTGTATTCTTGTTCATGATTGTAATGTTCATTTTGTAGGAAGCAGTACTTAAGTGGCCACCTCTAAGGCCCCTGTGTTTGATTTTGAAAGTATTTCTGCAGCAAAGAGAGCTAAATGAGGCAAGAGTTCTCTATAATATGAATATTTCTTGTAATGTTCTGATTCCAGTATGCCTAATTGTGATTCTTGTTAAGTATGCAGGTATATTCTGGTGGGATTGGCTCGTATGCGCTTCTTGCCATGCTGATGGCAATGTTGCGGGTTAGTGGTTCTTGAATATGCTTTAAAAATTTAGTGTTGTTCACTTGCTTGAAGCATGATGAGGTTTTCCCTATTGAGCATATAGTCCACCTCCGCATCATGAGAAATAATGAATAAATAAATTCACTCTTTTCTTTCTAATATTTTCAAACCCGGAACTTTTTGCCAATATCATGATCTAAGTTTTTGACACTTGTTTGCTTCAGAATCTTCGCCTGAGCCAAGCTTCTGCAGAGCACAACCTGGGAGTCCTTTTGGTGCGTATCTTCTGATTCTGAAGTATCGTTTTGCATCTGTCTTTTTGGTTCCAGGGGTGTTATATGAGTTGTCATTCATTATTGGCGACTGTTCTGTGCAATTTAGCAGTTTAAGGAAGAGAAACATGCACAATAATTGTGTGCTGTGTACCTTTGTTTTGATAAATGTTTCCTTTATAGGATGACAGTAAGAAATATATCAATTTACCATTCTGATAGTGCTATTTTTTTTTTTCATTTTGAAATCAGGTGCATTTTTTTGATTTCTATGGACGCAAATTGAACACATCAGATGTTGGTGTGTCCTGTAATGGGACAGGCACTTTTTTTGTGAAAAGTAGTAAAGGGTAATAAAGAATTTGGGTATATTATTGAAGTAATGTTATTTTTAATTATGCTGCATAATTTATCATATAGGTTATTGAACTTTTCCCTATGTCATCTCAGGTTTTTAAACAAATCTCGGCCAAGTCTTATTTCCATCGAGGATCCTCAGGTTTCATTTGAAGAACTCCCTTTTACTATTTCCATTTCCAGAGTCATTACTTGCTTGCCTTTTTGGAGTAATTGCTGAATATTTTATGGAGGAAAAGTGGAAATTGGAGAAGATATTCGCCAACCAAAATGTTAAAGGACCTAATCATAATTGGACAGTGAACTATAAAATATCTAAGCAGGAGTTGAATATTGTCTTAGAAAATTGAAGTCTGTCTTTTTGGTTCTGTTGTAAATTGCTTTCAAATTATTTTTTACATGCATTTATATATTATATTGACACTACTTTTGTTTTTGTGTATATTAGACAAACTATTATTATTCCTTTAGTTGATTGATAGTGTTTTTTTGGCTGAATCAGGCACCAGAAAATGACATTGGGAAGAACTCTTTTAATTATTTCCAGGTCTGTTTACTCTTTCATTGTAAATTATATTTCCTGTTTTTTTATTTGACTTTCAAGACATTTTTTGAGTGTATACATGTTCTTTAGCTGATAGGTTACAATTAAATCTAATAATAATAATATCATATGTATTATGTATTCGTTACTTTTGGTTTTAAGTGACTAAAATTAAATTTTTATTCTTTTTCCTCAGATTAGGTCAGCTTTTTCAATGGCATCTAAAAATTTGACGAATCCCAAGATCATTATGAGCTTAGGACCGAACAGGAGCATTCTGGGGACTATAATCAGACCAGATCCTGTTCTGCTGCAGCGTAAAGGTGGTTTGAACGGGGATGTGACTTTTGATAAGTTGCTTCCTGGTGCTGGCGAGCCATTACAACAACAGTATGGAGAACAGGAGATGTTATGCAATTGGCAGTTAGATTATGAAGAAGAACCATTACCACGGGGAGGCGACGCCAGTGCAGAGCCTAGCTCACGTTATTCAGCAAAGAAGAGAAAATCTGGTTCAAAGAATTCTAGTAAGAAGCTAAAGGAAAAGGAAAATGATAATATTCAGATGAAAGGGAATGAGGATAATGACTCTAGAAAAGAGAAGGATAAAAAAAAGAGACGAAAGAGAAAAGCTCAACTAGAATACAGCGGTTCTTAGACCAGACGCCGAGTGCTGTGAGGTTTCTTACAAAATGACTGAGGATTGTAACATGATCAGTGGTTTGAAAATGAAGGAATAAAGGCATCATCAGAGTTAAAGCGAATTTGAGTCCAATGTTGTCACAGACCCATGATGCGAGCTCTATTCCTTCCACTCCTGCAAATTATCAGTTTTTATTTTTTATTTTTTATTTTTTCCCCATTAGATAATTGATTTCAATGTCTGTATTTTTGAAATAGCAGAATTCTTATCCCTAAATCGAGAGAGGAGCGTTAGTCTTAGAGATTAAATTTAGTTTTTTTTTTTATTTAAATGTAGGTGTGAAACTTACTGTTTAAGGAACTGGGGATTAAAATTTTGTAAGGGATAAACTATGTTGTTGCCTGTCCAGTTTTTGTTAAAGAAGCTATGTAAACCAATCTGAAGATGAAAGAAATAGTAGAGGAGGAGAGTATGCCATATGGTTTTGTTCAAAATGAATGCAATCATTTAGCTGGTTTTGATAGTTTCCTGCCGTATTCTATCTATTTCATAATGATCTACCTAAGTTACCTTGTCTTGTTGGAGCATCTTTTGCAGTACGATCAAAATCAATGTCATCATCTCATCGTGGAATATTTTACTCTATGATATGTGATTAAATGCCAAATGCTTTTAAAAGTTTAAAATTACTTGCACATAATTTTAAACAATTAAAACAATGTGACCTTTATATTATAAAACTGCATAATTTATTCTTTTTCAATCAATTTAATTGGCTTCTTAAAAATATGAAGTGTGGCCAACAAATTTTTATGATTTAAATTTTTAGTTGAATAGTTTTAATAATAAAGTTAGAAAGTATTAAGCAATTATCTGTCTAGTCATATTTAATGCGAGTTTCTTAAGGAAATAAGGTTTTTATAGCTTTGTCAAGATGCAAAAGTAAAATGTGACTGCATTCTGCAACGGGCAAACTACAAGTCAAGTCAAAAAAGTTGTGCTAACAGGAAATACAGAGGATTTGGTTTTAATAAGAAAATCGTTTTTATTACAAGTCCGAATCATGTGGATTATTTTAAAAAAATGTTAATTAACAGCACAATCTTCTTATTATTTCTCTTATTATCATGAACAGATACAATTAACTTTCTTTTAAAAAAAAAGTTAGAATTCAAGTAGTATATTACAAGAATTCTTTTATCAGGAAACAAGCAGAATATAAGGTAAACACAAGTCAGAAATCATGAACCCCAGAACCAAAACAGTCTTCTGAATTCATAAGAGGTGAAAATAGTAGGAAAGTAGAAATGGGGACAAGCCAAAATAAATGAGATCAATAGTGGAAAAAGTTCACCAACTTTTAGTTAATAAGGATAAATTGCAAATTCTTGTGGTCGGTGTTCTGTTACTACTACCAATAGACAGCATGCCAAAAACACTGTTCATTTATAGGCTTCAGTTTTTAAGAAAAGAAACAGAATAAACAATTAAGGAAACCACGCCAAATATGACCAATCAACTAAAATCTCAGCTTCCTTAAGCAATCCATTAACACAACTTCTTGACATGCATGCACAGAAGTTTCACTGTGCCTGGTGTTTCACAAGAACTTGTCAACCTTTAGAAGAACATGGTAACATGTTATGCACCCGGTAGTCAGAGCCATTCATTCATTAAGCTATTAAAGACTCAACCTGAGTTGTCATTGATACATGAAATACTTTTAAGAAACATTAGTTAAAAGAATTAACCAAAAGTACATACAATTAAAGAGAAGGAGGTTGTCTGACCAAATGAACCTCAGTTTTGAAGAGAAGAACAGAAAGTGAGTCAATTGAGAAGTAGATGAACCCTCCACCAGTGTGACTCACAAAGGACCCGAAACTCTTCCCTACCACGCAATGCCAGGCCAGTCCATACTTCGTGTCAAACTCCTGAAATTGATTCAAAATATTAATAGCAAACAACTTAATTTAGTAAGAGAATGATTCAATTATATAGCAAAGGTTACATATAAGAGAAAAATAAGGTTCAAAACAAGATTCCGTAAGTTTCAATACAAAGAATCAAAGATATTACTAATATTTGAGTATGTTGAACATCACCAAAAAAGGGTACACAGTAAGAGTTTTCCAAAGGCTGCAGTGTACCTTTTTGAGAGCTCTAGCTATGAGAGTGTTAGAGAGCTTTGGAGAAGGAGTTGAAAGAGAAAGGAGTGATCTAGTGTGACGAAGAGCATGTTCCTGCATGTGGGCAGGCATGTCAGATGATTTCAACCTCACGTTGAAGCCGATGGCAAGTGAAGCCAGTCTCATGATGGTTTGAGAAGGGTTGGGATTGGGTGTGTGCATGGTGTGGTTCTTGTCCTTGGAGCCATGATCTTTGATGAGCTTTGGTTGTTGTTGTTGTTCTTCCATGGTGATGGAATGCATAAGAGAAGAAGAAGGGTGGTTTTGCATTAATTTGAAGTGGGTAGGTAGGTCAAGTCAAAGACAAGTTGGAGAAGAAGTGGGCTGTGTTTGAGCCTTTTGGTACAATAGGGTTTTTTCAACTTTCATCTTTGACTAGGTAAATGTGAAGGACATGACAATGAGAATTTCATGCATTTTTTGTACCATTAGAAAGTGATCACACACAACACAGTTCCAAGACATTCAAAATCACATGACCCTTTTGAACTGTGCTTTTCTTGTTCTCTAAAGTTTTCATCTTTTTATCAATTAAATGAGAAAAGGTTGAAGAATTGTGTTTGTTGGGTTTTAGGTTTTGAATGGTGGCAGAAGAAAGCAGGGAGAAGGGTTAGGTGAGTGACTGAGGTCTGGTGCCTGCAACTCTGTTCTTTCTTTCTAACAGGTAAAAAACCAGACTGTATTTTGCATAGTTGTAAATTGTAGCAATAGTAAAATAAAATATAATTTAATGTTTTTTAAAATTGAAAATTGAAAAAAATTTGTTTAACTAAAAGAAATTCATAAACCTAACTAAAAGATGATTAAAAGTCAAAAATATCAGGAAAAATTATAATGCAGATAGTTTGTTAGTGTCACATAATATTAGGAAAAAAATAATAATCCTTATTTTTAAAGAAATTAATAAAGAAAGAAACAAAATTAAGAAAAAAAATAAAAAATACTTTAGGATTAAAAATATATTTAAACTTAAAATTTATATTAAATGAAACTTTAATTGATTAATAGTATAAAATTGTTTAATATGACTGTTACACTTAATATAAAAATGTCTTATCTTACATATAAAGTTGTTCTAAAAAACTTAATATTTCATGCATGGTTAGTATAAAATCTTTTATATTATTAATTTATAGATTATTTTGGACTAAATAGGTAATGAATGAGACTGATAACTTTTTTAATAATATTTTCATGCAAATGAGTTTTTAATATTTTTTATATATCTAAATCATTTTCTTAATAAAATGAAACCTCTATTTATAATATGCAGTAAAATTAAATACATAAAAATTGAATAATTAATTTTTAACTTGAATATTAGAAAAAATATGAAGTTATTATTAAATACAAATGTAATTTTTCTTATAATAAATAATACTCAATAGGCATACATTTCAAAATTTATATTTTTAAAAATTTATTTCAATATTTTGAAACAAAATCATCTTATGAAATTATTTTCTAGTAAATTATATTTTTTTGTTGTAGTTCTATGTTTAGTTAAATTTATTTATTATACTGTAGTTCAAGTGTTAGTTTGTTTTGTGTTTAATTTATTATGTTGTTTTATTCTAATAAAATAAATAATTTTTATTTTATTTTAAATGTTTATTTCAATACAAAGTAGTTTTTTAATTAGTAAATCTATATACATTTTAAATAAATAATTATTTAAAAATACTTATTTTAAATTTTAAAAAACTGCTCCTAAATTAGAAGGAAAAATAATGCAATGGTTATTACCATACTTATAACGTCCATACAAAATAGGTTTCCTTGTCATTTTGGTTTTCTTCTTTCTCTTACAGTTTTCATTTCTTCTTTCTTCTTTTTAATATTTTCTTTTTTACATAACATTCTTTTATTTATCTGGTTTTATTTATAATTCTTTTTAAAATTAAATCCTAATGTGTTTTTTTATAGTAATTCAAATTAGTAATATTCCAAAATATATTATTAAACCATAATAAAAGCACTATCACATTATTAATAAAATAAACCAATTAGAAGACACGAAAACACAAAGTTATGTTTATAGTCATTTAAAACAATTATATAAATATTAATTTATATGCAAAGTACAAGTATCAAAATTATGTATAGGAATAGTGTATTAAAACCATCAAAGAAAGACAACTACTAAAGAAAGTAAACTACTAGAACTACTAAGCCTCTGGGCCATCACCATCTATGGTCTGTTCAACCGTCACCTCATGATGGAAGCGCTTGAGGAGATGAGACCGACTGAAGCCGCGCGAGCGTGATCCAGATCCTCGAGGAGAAGATGAAGCGAAAATGAAGATGAAGCTCTAAATCGATAGCTAATCCGAGGAGAACAGTTGAAAACATAAACAAACGAGAGAGGATTGCGAAACCGAGGAGGAACGGATCAAAAGTGAGAGTGAGCTCACAGAAACCCTAGAAGAAGGGGGAAACTCTAAATGAACCAATTAAACGGTGGAAACGTGAGTTTAATCGGTAGGAAGTGAAGATTACAGGTGAGAAGAGGTTTAATCGATAGATATGGAAGAACAATTGGTGACAGTGCAGGGAAATGGTGAAAAGAGGATCGAAACCGTAGAAGAAGATGTGTTTGGGTGATGAACGATGAGAAATTATCTTCGAGACGTGACTGAAGTGTGGATCTGTGAAGAAAAGGAGACTTACGGATGATGCGACTTCTCGAGAACGAGTGAGATGTGTTTTAGCGAATGAGGAGAGTGTGAAATGAGGCGCTGATGAGCGCGCATTGAAGGAAAACGTGGCTGACACATTGGTGCACTGAGGACGTGGCAGTGGAGGAATGTGACGTGGAAGTGGAGGAATGCAACGTGGAGGAAAGAGAATTGTATGGAAGCACAATGGAGAAAAGGAAATGAAATAGGAATAATGTGCTTGGAAAGTGGCTAGAGGCGGATCTCTTGGACTCTCTAGCCTGACTTTCAAGAGAGTTTCTCAACAAAATTCAAATTCTCATTATGTTCAAAAGTGTTGAATACAATAGTGGAGATGAGTATTTATAAGACTCATGCTCCTTACAAGCTAAATGTATTGAAAAATGTAAAATAAAAAAAGACGAAGGGTTCTCAGGCGTATTCCATCATTCCCTCCCTCTTAAAAAAAGATTTGTCCTCAAATTTGGCAATCACCTTATGTAGACACTTCACACTATCTTGGGAGCAGGGCCATCTTGGAGTGACCTTATTCCTCTATTCATGTAGCTTCACTTTTCTTCCTCTTGGATCAAACACAAATCTGCAATACATACCAAATATATCTTCAATTAATATCGATCCAAAAAAGGAATTTTCTAAAATAATAACTTTAGAATAAGGACTTCTTATAGTTTGGTTTGAAGTTTTAAGAATGTTTAGAAGTCCAAAGTCAAAAGTTATTTTTCTTTTGTCTTGAGTTATTTGTCTCCATAAAGGTAACAATAACTCAAAGATTGCCAACTTTTGGAAATTTTTGTATAGAATATGAAATGGCAATTGGTTTGAAAGAGAAGTTAATATTTGAAGACTCAACAATGATTGGAAAAAAAGTAAAGAATAAAAAAACCTTCCCTTTTAGGTTCCATGATTTTTGGTGGAGTTGAATTTGCTATCAGAAGCAATTTCTCTCTTTCTCTATTTTCCACTTCTTTCTTCTTTTCTTCTTCTCTTCTCTTTTCCTCTTCTCTTCTTTCTCTTTCTCGTCTCTCTTCTTCCTTTCTCTCTTCTTCTCTTCCTCTCTTCTTCTCTCTTCTTCTCTATTCTCTCTTTTTCTTCTCTCTCTTTTCTTGTTATCTCCTCTCTTCTTCTCTTTTCCTTTCTTCTTATTTTCTTACTTCCTCTCTTCTTTCTTTTCTTCTTTCTCTCTTTTCTTCTTTCTCTCTTCTTGTTCTCTCCTCTCTTCTTCTCTTTTCCTTTCTTCTTCTTTTCTTTCTACCTCTCTTCTTTCTTTTCTCTCGATCTCTCTTTTTATTTGCTTAACCTATAGTTCCTTAAGTCTGTTTCTAAATTCTAGCTCCATGGTCTTTTAAACTTTTAAGAAATGTTTTTCCCTCTTGAATACTATCTCTCATGAGTTCCAAGTTTCTTTTAATCGAAGGAGGCACAAACTTTCTTCTCATGCACGATTTTAATTCATACCAATTATCAATGGTGGATTTCCTACCTTTATTAACCCAATATTGCCTTTAATTCCACCACTCACGTGCATGCTTTTCTAACCTAGAGAGATATATACTAAGAACATGAGATTCACACTCCCTAGAAAGAACAATGGGACTATAGGATTCAATTTGACTTTGTCTAACAAGGAATGAATGCATTTTATCAATTTCCTTTCCAAAACTAGGTATGTTAATGCATCTATATCTTTACCAAAAAATGGAAGTTTACTAGCTTGACTATACAAATCATCCTTAATATATGAACTATAGTACCCATTATCAATCCTAGATGACCTATATGAACTAAACGACCTATATGAACTATAACAAGACATCTTTGTTTCTAAAAGTTTTTCTAGTGTAAAAGGTATACAAGATTCACAGTTAGACAAGTCTCAGGTAAGAGAGGTGAGTCAAGAAGACTTCTTAAGTACCAAGTCTTACCTTGCCAGAAATGTCTTAAGTTAATAAGAAATTACCTCTTAAACTAAAATTACCTTTAAAATCAAAGGACACCACTCAAACAAACACAAATAATCAAAACTAGACTCTTAATATTCCGACTCTAATGTGATAAGGCTTAGAGTTTAATCCCCTTTTGCCTAAATCACCCCTAAAACGTGAACACAACAATAATCAAAGGTAATAAATCAAATATCAAATTCTACTCCTATGGTGAGGCTTGTAGCTTTGGCTAACAAGACACACTCACCAGACTATCTATGCCAGAAAAAGAAAACAAGTAAAGTTTCCAAGAGTTGGAAAGAGCACCGTGGACTCTTCCAATCCACTTGGACTTTATAAAAGGCCATTTACAAATCAACAGAAAACGAAACAGAAAGGCATAAGACTAACACAAGCTTATTAGAAACCAATTTGAAACAAACAATTACAAAAGAAATGAGACTATGTTACTGCTCTGGTCTTAGTTCCACGCTACATAAAAATCACAATTATAAAAATGAATTGATGCAAAATTTTAAAAGACAAGAATGCAATAATCAGAATTGTGGTCCCAGCTTAAACAAACCCACTTTGCTGCAACATGCTCAACTCAACATGTTATCTTGCACAATGAATAAGCAACAATGGTTAATTGAAAACTGAATTA